CAGTGCGTAAATCCAGATTCATGCCCAGACAGATTAAAGGCCTGTATAAAAGCCAAAAGTGGCCATTTCGTATAGAATATTTTTTTTATCTTTCGGTGAGACTTTAATAAATATGTAGGTATAAATTTTTGTAATATTACATTACTGCATAAAAAATACATTTTCATTTGTAACAGAACTTATGGCTTTTTTTTAAAGGTGATAATGAAATAGTAACCCCACCCGCGCTATCGGTATATACCGGCGGGGCACCAGTGAATGATGATAGGTGAGGATGAAGCAGGTCAGTTAGCGTGGAGGTTGACCTGATAGGGCATATTGTTAGCAATGGGGCTGTCAAACTCCATTGCTAACAATCCTTTCCCCCCAGAACTTATGGCTGGACTAGGTATAGTCCTTACTAATACCTCTTAGCGTTTTAACGGCTCGACCAATCACTTACACCTATTAGGTGAGATGGAGAAGGCAGGCTACTATTTATCCCTGTCAATGAACTTAGTGACGAATACGCGGTTAAGAGTTTACAGAAAAAACGCAACAAAATCTCGCGTTAACTTTTTAATCTTCTCTTGTTTCTCAGAAATTTTGTTCTGCAAACATAAGAGAATTTAATGTTGAAGAACTTATTCATTCATTCATAATTCATTTGGTTCTTCATTCATAATTCATTTATATCTTCATTCATAATTCATTTATTCGTTCATTCGTAACTCATTTTTTTCGAATAAGTTTAATAATTTTAATAACTGAAGACATAGTAATGTGATATGTCGCATTTTCGGGTTTTCACTATTATACACATGTATGAAGATCTTATGTGCGTACTAACAAATATAAGTTTTACTAATCGATTGTAAGTATAAGTTATGTTAATATGCACATAGCGCCACTTCACACCTCCATCCATTCATAGAATAGCGAAAATCCGAAAATACTACGTATCAACTTCATCCATTCATGTCTTGAATTATTTACACGCAGTAGGAGAATATACGTTTAAAAATTATCAATAGGAACGTATGAGGAAAATATAGATTGCACTTGGAAATTAACATGTTTCCATCTAATTCAATTAACGAGCGCAGCGTGTAAACGTCTATGTATATATAAATCTTTAGACTGTAATATTAATAACAATGTTTAACAAGAATTAATTATCGGGTTAATATTATACTCGTATACGTAATTAATGAACTTTTTTTTTATACAACTTAGAATGGCAAACAAGCTGACGGCCCACCTGATGGAAAGTGGTAACCGTCGCCTATAAACATGAGCAGTACCATGGACATAACAGAGTATACTGTTTCGCCCATGATACCCCCCCATGCGTTGCCCTTCCTGAGGACTCAGATGTTATTCCTCTGTACCCAGTAAATTCACGTCATATCCCACCCTTCAAACCGAAACACAGCCATGCAAACACAACTGCTTCACGGTTGAAACACGAATGGGACAGAGGTACCCAAGCAATCGACTTTTGTACAAAGTCTCCCTCTGGTAATGAACTTAGTAATAATTTCCTCTAATTACAATAACCATGTATCATTTTTATAAATACACACCAAACGCCTGATTCTCAAGATAAGATATCTTGCATTTTTTATACCACTAAGGTTGCAGACAAGCATATGGTTCATCTGATGGTAAGCGGTTGCATATTGAGAAATCAGGCAACGAATACCGGGAACCAAGTTAATTCAGAAAACTTTGTTTTCTAAATTGATCTGACCAGGAATTGAATCTGGGACTTAATGGACGCAAAACAGGGGGAAGCGGTTGTTAGTAATGGGGACTGAGAATCCCATTGTTAGCAATATATCTTACCAGGTCGACCTCCTCGCTGGAAACTATCATGGTTAATTCCTGATGAATTCATCATGATGGGCTAACTGACCTGTTTTCATTCTTATCTATCACTCTTCACTGGTGCTCCGCTGGCGTATCCCGTTGGCGTAAGTTATCCCATACCATTTTCACCCATCAAAAAAAAAGACCCTTGTTTGCCGTTCCGGGTATCATAAAAAGCATTATTTTTACTACTACCAGTCTCATTGCTAGCAATATACCTTGTCTGGTCGACATCCACGTGGTCCCCCTGGAAATTATCGTATTCCAGGTGTATTCATCACAATGGGCTAACTGATCTGCATTACATCTGCATTACATCATTCTCATCTATCATCCTTCGCTGGTGCCCCGTCAGCGTATACCGTTAGCGTAGGCGGGGTTAACATTTCATTATTATCCATTAAAAAAAATTACGCAGAACAATGCTGCCACCATTGTACAACGGTGATCGTCAAATAGGCAAACGATACCAGAAAAGGGGCGAAAATATTTCTTAGCATAGCAGAAATTTTAGACGCACAGCTACGCCAAAGAATTTGGATTAGATAGATGGTTTATTAGAAATAATAACTTTAATTTTCAACAAGAATAAAACCAGCCAAATTCTAGTTGAACTCACAAACCGAAGGTTCCGTACATAATGGTTGCGTTTCGATTTGAAGGGTGGGATATGGCGTGAATTTACTGGGTACGGATGAATAACACCTGAGTCCTCAGGAATGACAACGCATGGGGGGTATCATGGGCGAAACAGTATACTCTGTTATGTCCATGGTACTGCTCATGTCTATAGGCGACGGTTACCACTTTCCATCAGGTGGACCGTCAGCTTGTTTGCCATTCTAAGTTGTATAAAAAAAAAAATATGTAGATATGCTTCTATTTTCTTTAGATAAAATTTCTTTCTAAAATATCTACTTAGTATGTACCTAATTGATTTACTCTTTAAGTGTAAAATAGAGTTAGACAGTAATCCCGATGAAAAAATTATTAATGGGGGATACGATTTTCAAAAACAGTTCATTATTATTTTATTTAAACAATAAGTGATCACGACATATCATCGATCATTATTTAATCATCATATCATCATATCAGCCTTTAGCTGTCCACTGCTGAACATAAGCCTCCCCCTTGGGGGGCTTTGCTAATATTTGTCATGCTTGCCAGACGGATTGGCAAGCGCAGTTAAGCTTTTGAGATGTTTTAAAAAGGACGCTGCTGTCCATCCCTCGTCCTCTCTTAGTCGCCTATTACGACACCCACAGGAAAGTAAGATAGTTATTCTATGCTTGAACCACATAGCGATTTATATATTGTAAATAATTAAACATTATAACTGATGAACAAAGAGGGTTGACGTCAGGCAGGCGGCCAGTCGTCAAACTATAAGCGAAATCTTTTTGTAACATGGATAAAAACATATTACGCCGACCCCAAATAATAATTCGGGTAAGGGTAGGAAGATGATAAACTGATGATCAAAAGCTACATATAATTGCTTTCTGTATTTAGAAAATAAATAATATCCGAAGAACGTGTATGTAGTTATGTAGTTGTTTTATAAATATAATTACTGGTAATAAAGTCTAAAATAGCTATGATAATTATCGAAAATTAATTAGAAAATTAACAAACAAGCCATAACCAAATAAATAATACCTAATAGGTCAATAGTTTAGTACTAACTAAACAAAATTAATATTAATTTCTTTTATCATTTTGTAGTATTGTTCTCTCCCCAGATAGCGCTTAATAAAACCAGCAGGAAACATGCTAACGGCAGTCATTGGAATCTGGTAGGTTGCAGATGTGCTCAATGCTTTAACACCGCTCTTAACTAGTTTAAGATCTATTATGTGATCTAACGACATGAGCAGTGAAGTGAAAATAGAATGTTCCCATAGACAGATTACGAGTAGTTATTAGAGTTATGTTAGCACACGTAACAAAGACACCGTCGCGTGTCGTCGTCATTCAAGGCCACATCTGTAATTCATGCCTACGCACACATGCAACGGTAATCGAATACATAAACAGAAACTTAAGCACTACACTACACCTAATTGTATTAACAAGTATTATTTAACGGCAAAAGACGTGTAAATTTCCATGTACATAATTAAAGCAAACATAGCAAAAAGCGTTGAGGACTAGGCAGTTAACGACTTTATTACGCACCGGTCCAATTTGGATAATAATTTATTCAAATTGTAAGACAGCTGATATGAATTTAAGGAATTAAACTTTTTCTTTAATAGTATACAATATGTTATTCGCATTTGCTCAGTATTGTTTAGGTCATTCGGATGACGAGAGTCAGATGAGCATGTGGCATGAGCGTGCTCGGCACGGCCGCAGCACGCATTCAACACGCACCCGTTTAGGTCGCAGTGAAAAAAACTCCACGGGAAAAATAAAATTTTACATGACATAACTAATATAAAAATCAATTCGATTATTCTAAATTCATTAACATTAACTTTTTGTATTGGTATTAGATAAAATGTAACAATGAACAATACATTTAGCAAGTTCAATTTTGATGGCATACAAAAATAAATAACAGGTGTGTTAATTGTAGTGTACTGACATTGACAACATTAGAATTTGTGTTCGATTTAAAATCGAATAATGTAAAAACAGTGTAGTGCCTACACACTTACTGTTTACATTTAAACACAATTTTTATCTTTTACTGTATAAAATACTTCAACTCGTTATATGTCATGTTAAATAATTAATTAGTACATAAAATGTCCAGCAGTGGTTTATAAATTCGCTGTTATATCTTGACTGTATTTGGCTATTCATTTTGGATGTTCTGAAAAATATAAAATACTGCCTTAGTGATTCCGCTTTTCACCTAACACAAAAATGAGCGATTTGACATTCATAAGACATTAATTATATCTACATAATCACGTGCTAATATTTTCAATCGAGAATATTTGCAAAATATTTTTTTTATTAAGGCTTTCATGGCTTTTCATCAAAATCACATTATCTACAAGAGCCCGCCTCCAAGTTATGAACAAAATAAACAAGAAAAAGATAATTCTCGTAAAGGCACAATCGAAATCATATGCAAATATTACACACAATAAAAATATAACAGTGAGTACGGTTGGATAATAAGCGAGTCGTCTCTCGATGGGTCAGTGTGGTGATAACCTCGCGCGTCGGCACCACGGACCTCTTTGCTCAGATGCTAGTGAACACTTCGCCCTTCTGCGACGTGCCTACCATAAGTCTATAAAGCCAGTCGGCGCACACAAAAGAAACAGTCCGCCTTCGATCTCCGCCGATGTTGTTTATTTAGCACACACATCTAAGACACATCGACGCGTAATCACATATTGCGATGATTTCAAAACAGTGAATAGTTAAACAAAACCAGGTTTTGAATATCCCTCCCTTTTGTATGCGCACGCGTGCAAACGCCGCTGTGATTGGTCGTGAAAACAACCTTCAAGAAAAGTAAAAACATGACGATGAGTGAAACAAAAAGCAGTGTCAGTCGGTCGGCGTGCAATTGTAAAGGAAGCATGATCGTTGTGTCGAACAGGCTGCCTTTTATTTTGAAGAGAAATGAGAAAACCGGTGAATTAGAGAGAAAAGCCAGGTACTGTACTGTAAATATTTTTGATCAATCCAAAATATATGTTGGTATGCTTGTAATTTAACATTTCGTATATCAGTAGATTTAGTTGTAGTCGTTGTAGGTTTCGAATCCGTTAGTTAATATGAAATATTAAAGCTAGAACATAAATGTTGCGGTCGGTGACATTAATCCTTATCGAGATAAAAATAACACCTTGATCGGCTTCGTACATATTTGAATAACAAATGAATTTGTGAATCATTGGTAATTGTTATTGTAGCATTAAGGAATAAATATCGAATAATACACGATAAACGTCGTGTTATTGTGAACATATACATTGAAAATATTTAGACAACCCCAAACCACCTGTATGGGGAATCCTTCAGTATTGATTATTATAATTTCTAGAAATTTCTCGATCCCAGTACCGGCCGGCATCTATTCGGGAATATTCCGTGCCCCACACTTGTTAAATTCTCGAGAGGATTCTCGCGTACCTAAGTAAATAGTGATTTAATCATTTGTTTAGTGAATGACTACACTAGCTATTAAGTTATTAAGTTTGTTCATTCGAATTATCTACTCACCTGTCAACTTTTTAATGATACAAACTATATACCTACTACCTATTTACTACAGCGATAAATATAAAATAAACACTTATTGAACTTTTAAAAATTAAAAATGGAATCATGAATAAAGACTAAATAGAAAAAGAAATATCTAATACAGACCAATAATAAGACTAGGTATATCCTATACTGCGATGGATTCTGGATAATGTACTCAAGTATCATAACTATATCAGTTTTGATAACAGCAGAGCCCCGAGTATGGTATTCCATTTATAGATTATACAAAGAACTACAGAAAATGTTAGAAAATGCTTGCTCCATTTCGAAAGAAAGAAAAAAAGAAAACATTATTACTAATTAAAAAAATTAAAACATATTGCCAACAACAAAAAGAGTTACATTAATTATCAATACAAAACAAACTTTACATTTGTTATTGCTAAACATTAAACTGAGCATAAAAATTAAATACAATTTTGAAATTCGACTTCCTGCAGAAGTTACCTAATACAATAATAAAGTTAGGCATTTTAAAATAGTTTTAAATACCAAAGTTAGTGTTTTAAAACTTAAATGTTTCAAATAAATGCCAAATTCAAATATTTAGATGTTAGTGAAATTTCAAATTAAATGATAATTTAAAAATACAGAAATTAACTGCATACTTACATAACTACGACACAAGATAAACACATATATCGAAATCTCGTACGCAAATATCATATGAATACAAAAAATTATGATGTTCTAAATAGTTTCAAAATCCGGTAAATTTTTTAACATTTAATAACAATGAATCTCCTATTATTTTCTGATAGATTCGTTTAAGCATTGTACTTAATGTCTTTCTTATACTTAACAGTCAACAATGTAAAGCTGTCATAATAATGACGATTAATTCAACGAGTTATAATGCCATATACCAATCTAAAATACCTATTAAGGTAAGTTCTATATGTTATTAATTACCTAGTTACTCCGTGTTTAATTATAGGTAGATACGAGATCGATGTACCAAGAAATCTGTATAACATAACCTATCAGTTCCCTATACAATGCAATTTAAAATTGACAATAAAAATATTGTCTTCCACACTCTTACGTATACTGTACAAATTTAATGAATACCTACTATAGCTAATGAGGTCACTACGTAAAATGTTAAAACACCTTGGACTTGACTTTCTGAGCAAGGTCACTAACAAGGAATTGGAAGCCGTTTTAAAATCGGAACATCGCTCTTGTTTAACTGAATAAACTCATCTCTATTGTATTGAATGTAGTTTTAAAAATTATTTACAAGTATAAGTACCTATCTAACATTATTTTATAATGTTTAACACTACTTACTACATGAAAGTGAGTTTAATGCCATGTCAATGTACTGACATGCATTCTTATGCACCCGTGTCTGATATTCTGGATATATCAAGTTCTCTTAGTTGTTTGTTATGCCATTTCTTACAATTGTTTGGGGTAATTGTCAATATTATAACTACTTTTGTTTTGTCTTCATATTATGTAAATAAAATTGAATTGTTTACAAGCATTTTTTAATCGTCATTTGTTTTGTTGTGATCCCACTGTACTCGTAGTTTCAGATAGTTGTTATCTGTTAGCAAAAATATATAATACACTCGACAGTTCCTCCTTTTATGTCAGTCTGTTAATAGTATTTTTCAAATATTTTTTTTATGCAACTTAGAATGGTAAACAAGCTGCCGGCCCACCTGATGTAAAGTGGTAACCGTCGCCTATAAACATGAGCAGTACATATAACAGAGTATACTGTTTAGCCCATGATATCCCCCATGCGTTGCTATCCCTGAGGACTCAGGTGTTATTCCTCTGTACCCTGTAAATTCACTGCCATATCTTACCCTTCAAACCGTAAGAAATTTCTTACCTAGTCTCCATAAATAAGATCAAAAATTCAAATCTTTGTTACAACCTTTAGCCTAACCATAGATAATATAATTATATCATAGATTTAAAATGTATTTATTTTTAATTGAGAGAGATATTAAAACAGTTAATCTTGTTGACGTTGTATTTAAAAATGTTATATTTTATTTATTATTATGAAGTACAATCATAGTCATTGAAAAGTGAATAATGATAATAATGTTGAAAATTATAAAACGGGTTTTGCGTATTTATAATAAGTAATAGCAGATTTCAAACAAGTAGATTTTGCTTCACAAAAAAGCCGATATAAATCCTAGCAAAACCATTTTTTACTAAATTCAGTTGTTTAGTTTTAAAAACCAATTATTTGGATTTCAAAACTAAACAACAGAATTTTAATTTTTTTTTTATAGGACCAATGATTGTGTTTGTTACCTCATAACTCCATCAGTTGTAAACCGATTTGGAAAAATCCTTTTTTATATGAAAGGATATACTTACAAATTAGTCTTATACAAATTTTATTATAATTTATCCAATAGTTTAGTTTTTAAACCAAAATAACTGGTTTTGTCACAACTAAAGTCGGTATTTTATGGCACACAATTTAAATATTTTGAAATCGTTTTAAAAAAAATATTAAAAATACTGAATTAAGTAACTTACGTCCACTTATTTCACTTAATTAATGATCAGAAAAAATTGAATAGAGTTTTTGTTAAATGCTCTAGTATCTTTGTATAAGTATAGATAATATATTACTATAAGTAAATTAAATATTCTTTTGTTTTACGAGTAATAACTACTATTATATTTGACAAGGACATGTACGTAATTTTTATGAAATTAAATGATGTTCATAAATATTATTAGTGAAATCATTTCTAAAAGTAAAATTATTATTGTTTTAGGATCTCTCTAAAGCCATTGGTCTGTTTGATTTTTGTTCTTTTTTTTTAGAAAACCAGTTATTTAATTTGGTTAACTATCGAGCAATAAGGTATTGAAATGCTCAACATGTATATATTTGTATCTATATATATTTTACATGAAATGATATATATAGTATATGATCCCCATATAAATTAAATCTCACTTCCCTACGTAACTATAGTCTCGCGATAAATTTTGTATGTAAATATTCTTTATTGCACTCATAAAAAAGATATATAACGGAATGGTTATAGATTATGCATATAGTAGGTATAAATACTAAGAAAATATTGTTGTTAACGTTGAAACATGTTGTAAATATGTATTTTTATTTATTGTTGTAATTATAAGAAAATACCATCAAATTGAGAACTTCCTACATTTTTTTTTCCTTTAATTGAGAAACAAATAAGTACGTTTTGCACAGCTTGAGTAATTCATGTAAAGCAGTTTGCAACAGAGTGTGCAATTCCCACAAGCACATATATAATAAAAAATACAAATAATGCTATATAAATATGTAAAATATAAAACTATGAAAAATTATTCCATGTGTTACATCATATTCACAAAACAGAAAACAAGTTTTTTTTAAAGAGTAAATATTTTATGAAAACAAAGCAGTACAAAATATTTCGTCAATATCCAATGGAATCGACAGAATAGTGCTCTCGGAATGTTTGTAAAATGCTCTTGTTAAATTTTTATTGAACAATTGAATGAAAAGGGGACGGACGAGAATTCACACCTAAAATATTACTATAAGTAAATTAAATATTCTTTTGTTTTACGAGTAATAACTACTATTATATTTGACAAGGACATGTACGTAATTTTTTATAATGATGTTCATAAATATTATTAGTGAAATCATTTCTAAAAGTAAAATTATTATTGTTTTAGGATCTCTCTAAAGCCATTGGTCTGTTTGATTTTTGTTATTTTTTTTTTTAGAAAACCAGTTATTTAATTTGGTTAACTATCGAGCAATAAGGTATTGAAATGCTCAACATGTATATATTTGTATCTATATATATTTTACATGAAATGGTATATATTTGTATCTATATATATTTTCATGAAATGATATATATAGTAAACAAAATTTTACATAACTATTTTAAGCAAAATTCTTTTTGATATATAAATGGTTATAGATTAATAGTACGGTATTAATACTAAGAAAATATTGTTAACGTTGAAACATGTTGTAAATATGTATTTTTATTTAAACCATTTTGAAAATTTTGCAACAGAGTGTGCAATTCCCACAAGCACATATATAATAAAAAATACAGAAAATGCTATCTAAAATATAAAACTATGAAAAATGATTCCATATATTGAATCATATTCACAAAACAGAACAAGTTTTTCTAAAGAGTAAATATTTTATGAGAACAAAGCAGTACAAAATATTTCGTCAATTTGTCTTGTTAAAATGAACAATATTTTGTAATAATAGCTTTTGTATATATTTGTACCTTTTTGATTTATATATATATTTTGTAAATGATGCAATTATGAAGTAACATACAAAAGAAAATACAACCGAATCATTAACTCGTCCTTTTTTAAGTCGATTGAAAATAAAATAATAGCTGTCAAATATATCATAACTGGTATGAAGATGGTTCCTACTGGTATCAAGGGTATCTAGTTAGACTTACTAAACATCGCCTGCTGGATGACAAATGCACGTGCATTCCGAAGCAGGCGGCAAATTACAAATGATCCGATACGAGCATTAGAAAGATACAAAAGTTTGTGCTGGGATTCGACATTAGATTGAGATCACCGAGTCACCTAAACGGATTTGAATGTAACTTGGTATACAAACATATCGTGAGTAATACATAAGATAGGTACTTTTAAAATCCTACGTAAACTGTAGACATTTTCACCTCGTATAAAATTTCTCTTTGTGAAAGCCTTGCCTTCACCACAGCACGTGTGTTGCAGTATGCAATTGTAAATGTTTTATATTAATCGAAATATATCGTATGCCGAAAATGTCTCTGGTACATACATACACATTTCTCTCCCATTGGGGTAGGCAGAAATATTGAAACACCAAATACTCTGCTTCAAACAGACCTCTTTCGCTTCTTCTACATTCATAAAACTATTTTTTATACATACTTGCTGTTTACGAATATTTTTAATTTGGCCCCTTTTTCAACCAACTTTAAAAAGAAGCAAGTTATTTGTAACGTCATAACTCCGTTAGTTGTAAACTGATTTGGATTTTTTTTTATTTCAAAGGAGTAACAAAGGACTTACAAATTGGTCTCATAGAAGTTTTATATAAATAATTTTAGTACTTTAGTTATTAACTTAAAGTAACTGGTATGCCACAATTAAGGTCTGATTTTTTTTTGGAACACAATCTTAATCAGCACATCGGCATGCGTTTGTCTAGTACAAGCATTTCCGTATCAATATTTTCACTCATTCGTGCTCAATAAATCTCTTTCGTAATTCTTCTTAAATCCGTCCTCAATAAGACCAGATCAATGCAATATCCCCTTTTCAATTCAAATTCAAATGATCTTTATACACCAAAATACATTTCTTTACAAGCTCTTTTAAAAATGCATAAAAATTATCTAAATTTGAAATTTTGTCATAAGAATTTATTTCAATAGAATTTAATATAAAGTTAATCAAGTTTTATTGAAATTATCAAAAAAATACTCTCTAAATAAAATTAGTACCAAATCAAAATATTTAATCAATTAATCTATTCTTTTTTTGTATTTTTTATTTTTTACTATTGGACCTCAGCAGACTGTCTTATTGTCGCACGAATTAAAAAAAGTAAAAAAAAAAAGATTGACTGATTAATATTTTCTTTTGGTCAGTAAAGTTATTTAAAATAAAATAAAATAAAATAATTTGTTTATATTTTTATGAAGTTCTATTGAAATAGATTAATACGTTGTCTTTCAGTGCAATGCAGATTTAAATCAATTATTGATATAAAGTGCTCCCTAATCACATTATAGCTCACTGTCCTTTAATATCTCTCGTTGAACTTGAAGGGTATCATGGACGTCATAGTATACACTGTGATGCTCATGGTGTTCATGCTTATAGGCGACAGTTAACACTTTCCATTGGTGGTGGGCCGTCAGTGCATAAAAAAAATCTTTAAAAGCCGGGCAAACTAAGGAAACATTTTGTCTACAGAGAAAATGTCCCTCGTATGCACAAATCATTTTTATAATGGCTTAAAGATAATGGAATGGTTGCCCCGCCTGCGCTATCGGTATACACTGTACCAGTGAGGGATGATAGATGATGCTGAAGCAGGTCAGTTGGCCCATCGTGACGAATTCAACGATAAATCAATCACGATGGTTTCCAGGGGGAACCGTGTGGAGGTCGGCTTTATAGGGTATATTGCTAGCAATAGGATTGCTAATCTCTATTACTAACAATCCCTTCTTCACCCTGCATGCATAAATCATGTGGGCAAACCCTTGGTTTACATTTGGTTAAATAATAAAAGTAACAGTTATTTACGTGATGCAGCGCGGGCGGTTTGGTGACAGCGGTCGCGCCGGTGGTCATCCGGGGCAGCGGGATATGGGTGGGGTGGCCTGGTATACACCTGGACGACCCCAACGAAAGCATACCCGAATCTAACCCCAATGACAAGACGCCCACAGCCGGACTGCTTTCTAAAAAGGTAAATATTTAATTCTCTTCATGATTTTTTAAATTTCTTATAATACAGGTAATTAATAAAATCGTTTTATTAACAAACTACACATACATTAGTAAAACTACTTCCTAGAGTAAAATATGTATTACATAATAGATATGACTTAATGTTAAATCGAAAATAAAAACTCGAATGGTTTTATTTAATTTGTTTATACTTTGTGCATGGCCAGTGGTTTTTTGTGAGACGAAAAAATCTTGCCTATATTCATTGAGTTTTTTATTTACCCCTGCGACAACAAAAACAAGGTTATTTGTTGTATAGAATAGACATAACATACATATATATACCTACATTACGTAAGTCTAGTTTATTTGTCGTTTTTCGACCTATATTAAGTTTCACACGTATTCAATAAATCTTTCAATAATTCTCTTCCCTTCTTTTCTTTTCACATATTTTTTTTATACCACTGAGGTGGCAAACAAGCATACGGCCCACCTGATGGTAAGCGGTTACCGTAACCTATGAACGCCTGCAATACCAGAAGTATTACGCGCGCGTTGCCAATATTTTTCAATACTTGTTATATATAATTTACTCGTTATTTAATAAGAATTATTTTGTTTAAATTCGCTACCATTAGTATGCGTGTAACATTCAACACTTGAAGACTGACTATCATTATTACAAGAAAATTTACAACCTTCCATATTAGCTATAAATCTCCGATTGCCATTTCGTCTACACATGTTTCACCTGTAACGAAACGCTGGACTCCGAGCAGCGATCGATTATATTTTAAACTAGTGATCGCACTGGTAAAGAGTTAGAAAGACAAATTAACATTTTATTAACATTAACTTTAGTAAGCGAATTTTTCATACATTGTGTTGCATTATTATAATTATCATATGGAATATATATATCATAGGGATTTCAATTTTTTCAAGCTACAGTTGATATCTCACTAATTATACGTGTATATATCTTATTATTCCTTACCAAGTGGCTTTGTTTATTAACATCTCTCCATTTACATTTTTTTTAATTTATATTAAATATTTCTATATTTTCAACAATTTTTCTAGATTTGTAGTGAAGATAAGTGATATGTAAAGATTAAATTAAGTAAATAGATATACGTGCCAAATATCTTGGCACTTGAGCAATTAATAAACTAAAATGTGTACAAACAAATAGATAACAATAACCCAAAATACCCGGCTGTAGTTTCCAATATTGAGCAAATCTAGATTAGTATCCGAAACCATATTTACGAGTACGTAAAGCAAACTATAATATTAAACTACAAAGATTTTCGTTAGGCAATTAAAATTTTTAATTTCCTCTGTAAGGAGTAGTAGAAAAGGCCACCCCTTCTTTTCCCGTGGATGTCGTAAGCTACTACGAGAGAGCAAGGAATGGGCAGCAGCGTCCCTCTTAAAACATCTCCAGAGACTAGCTGCGATTGCCCATCCCCCTGTCAAATGTGGAAACTACTAGCAAAACCCCCCAGAGGGGAGGCTTATATTCAGGAGTGGACAGTTAAAGGCTGATATGATGATGTAGGAGTAGTGAAAGCCTTTCGATTATTGTGCAAACTAAAATATAGGTATCAGTAACCCTATCGACCTTGAGCTATATTTACCAGTCGTGTAAACGGAAATTTACGAGAATCTAGCTTGTTTTAGTTATAAGTACTTGTAGATAGGTATACACCTACGTAGTTGTATAAAAACATATCTGAATGTATATTAATATTACAATTAGCTCCTCGCCTTGCACGTTTTTATAAACTGTTATTTGATCTCACTAGTTAATATGTTATTATCATCGTTCAGCTGTTGACTGACTACTGCTGAACATAAACCTTCCCCAAAAGGAGAGTTTTTTTTTATAGGTGAAAATGGTATGGTAACCCCGCCTGCGCTAACGGGATACGCTGGCGGAGCACCAGTGAAGGGTGATCGATGAGAATGAAAACAGGCCAGTTAGGCCATCATGATGAATTCATCAGGAATTAACCATAATAATTTCCAGGGGGAACCGCGAGGAGGTCGACCTGGTTGGGTATATTGCTAGCAATGGGATTTTCAGTCTCCATTACTAACAATCCCTTTCCCCCCCAAAAGGAGAGTTTCACAAGTAGTTTTCACGCTTGGCAAGCGAATTTTAAAAGGAACACTGCTGTCTATCCCTTCAATATAATATTATGTTTGGGTCAAGTTATGCAAACAAGTATTTCTTTAACCAGTTTTTCTTCAAATCTTTCATTTGTATCCTACAGATTGTACCAATTCGCGCAGAGCCAAATCTATTCGACAGTTACTATAACGGATGCTGCAATGGCACGTTCTGGCCATTATTCCATTCGATGCCTGACCGAGCTACATTCATCGCAGATCACTGGAAGGCTTACATCAAAATCAATGAGGAATTCGCAAATAAAACTATACATGCGTTGAATTTACTGAAACAAGATAAAGAAAAGAATGGTGGCTCACCACCGATAGTATGGGTACACGACTATCATTTGATGTTAGCCGCTAATTGGATCAGACAGGTGGGTTTAATTAATTTATTAATTTAAATTATAAGACAACAAATACTGTTAATATCGACCATAGTTAACCTATTCAAATTTCATTTATAGCGCGCTGAAGAGAACGATATTAGATGTAAACTTGCATTTTTCCTCCACATACCGTTCCCACCATGGGACATCTTTAGACTGTTCCCGTGGTCTGATGAAGTTTTACAAGGCATACTTGGTAAGTTCTTTGTAAGTAAAAACTGCCCTGCGTTAATTAGAAATCAACATGTACCCAATGTTAGAAATTAAGAAATTAGAAAATGTATCTGCTAATTTCATTTGCAGGTTGTGATATGGTCGGATTCCACATAACAGATTACTGCTTAAATTTCATAGACTGTTGCCAAAGGAATTTAGGTTGCCGTGTGGACAGAAAAAATCTTCTAGTTGAATTGGGAGGTCGTACCATCTGTGTCAGACCTCTACCTATCGGAGTACCTTTCGACAGGTTCGTCCAACTCGCACAAAATGCAAAACCAGTGCTCTCTACAAACCAAAAAGTTATACTTGGTGTCGACAGACTTGATTATACCAAAGGTTTAGTACACAGACTGAAAGCTTTCGAAAGATTACTCGAGAAGCATCCTGAACATATAGAGAAAGTCGTCTTATTGCAAATATCAGTACCTTCGAGAACAGATGTGAAAGAATATCAAGATTTGAAGGAGGAAATGGATCAACTGGTGGGAAGGATAAATGGAAGATTTACTACGCCCAATTGGTCTCCTATTAGGTGAGTTTCACTATACATTAACACTTATTAAACTGCTGATTATTATAAATCAATTAACGGTATCAAACTTATAAATTATATTTTTTTCTTCCATTATTTCCGTGATAGAAGTTCTTAGAAATTCAATTTGTAGTCTCATTTTTCAAAATTTTAGGATCTCTATACATATATTGTATATACTATGATTAATTTTAAATTAAGGCCGACTGGTCCCGGCATAGAATAAGCCACGTCTTCCTTTGCCGTGGGTGTCGTAAGAGGCGACTAAAAAAGGGCTAAGGATGAGTAGCAGCGTCCTTCATAAAACATATCCAAAGCTTAACTGCGGTTGCCAATTCGCCTGCCAAGCGTAGCAGCTACTGGCAAAATCCCCCAAGGTTCCCGGCTTATGTTCAGCAGTGGACAGTTTAAGGCTAATACGATGATGATGATTATGCATATATCGTGGCCAGATCTTACGACTGAACTGACCATTTTATGAAAGGATTGTATTTTGTGATATGGAAAATGCCCTCTACCCACATAATTAATAAATAAATAATGAATCACCAGAGGGAGACTTTGTACAAAAGTCGATTGCTTGGGTACCTCTGTCCCATTCGTGTTTCTACCGTGAAGCAGTTGTATTTGCATGACTGTGTTTCGATTTGAAGGGTGGGATATGGCGTGAATTTACTGGGTACAGAGGAATAACACCTGAGTCCTCAGGAATGGTAACGCATGGGGGGTGTCATGGGCGAAACAGTATACCCTGTTATGTCCATGGTACTGCTCATGTCTATAGGCAACGGTTACCACTCTCCATCAGGTGGACCGTCAGCTTGTTTACCATTCTAAGTTTTATAAAAAAAAAGAATAATCTAAACGCACGGCTACTTCATGATATGATCAAACATTACTCGTAGTTATTATATCATAAAACAGTTACGTTGTCTACCGTTTAAATTAGAAATGGTTCAAAAGAATATCTAGAAACAATCGGCCATAACATGAAGTAAACAATTCTAAGATTTGACCACGATACATATATTTCTTGACGTTTTTACTATTTTTAGTTAGATGTGATAGAATTGCTAAGGGTTTAGCTAATTCGTTTCACCATACATACCATATGATTATTGACTAGCGGCCGGTCCCGGCTTCACACGGGTGGACATTTTTACAACATTTCAAAAAGTGGCTATTATTACATAACGATAATAGTTAGACATATAGTATCGCAAAGTTTTTTGTAGTTATTGATACTTTCTTCAATATTGTAGAACATACTTTTGTTCTATTACCAATAGTTTCCGCAGCGCACGCGACGAAAGATATTTATATATAATAGCATTTTTTTTACACCTTGAGTTACGTTACAAAATTTTAGTAAGGATCCATAATCTTTTCTAGCAATAAATATAGTCTATGTTACTCAGAGTGAATGTAACTTTCTAAAGGTGAAAGAATTTTTGAAATCGGCAAATTAGTTTTTGAGTTTATTCATTACAAACATACACACAAAAATACAAATCTTTCCTCTTTATAATATTACTGTATATTACAAACTTAGTTTATATTTCTTCGTGTTTTCTTGGAAAATTGTCTTGGATATAAGAATAAAGTAAATAATAACTAAGGATTATTATTTAATGACAATTTTATGTGACAAAATCGTCAATCATAATAACCGTAGTAGCTCGTAATTCGTCATAACGTCAAAGGTTTAGGTATTTTCCTATCATTAAACACAAATATTGAAGGTTATACAGGGAACAACACAGTGTGCATAATTTAATAATTGTTGTTAATGAACGTAGATAAAGAATAGTAGGTAAATGCGGGTAATTATTTAATCTTAGATTAAGAATATGTACTCACACTGATACCTACCGAAGTTTGGCAACATCTAAATTAACTGTCAATTTTGGAAAATAAATTAAAACATTTTCAATATTTTTGAGTCGATTTTATTTAAAAAATACTTTAATAACTAATTAAAACGTAAATCGTGCAGTAACATTCTTATTAGGCTATCATTGAATATTTAAAATTTGAATTGATATACCTATAAGAATCGTAGTTCCTTGTAATATAATGAGAATATAAATATATCACAATAAAATTGTGTTATTACCGGTAATGACCAGTTGTCACCTACCTATTCTACTTAAAAATAAATATACTTAACAATAGATATGCTATCTGTGTATGTATAGAATATATTAAAATGATACAATTGTTATAACCGAACAATACACAACACACAAAGTTATGCGAAGAATTAGCTATTTTTAAATTTAGAACATAATTTTTAAAAATACTTCAGAGATGAATTATGTTTGATGGACAGAATTTATAATAAGCTTTTTTTAGTAATAGTACGTATAACAGGTCACGAAACCATATAGAAAATTATTAAAACCATCGTTAGTTGTGTGAATCTATCAATTTCAAATAATACTATGTGTTTAGTAATATTAATGTATATATGTATAATATTACTATATAATAGTATATATGTATTATTATTACGCATGTTGACCAAATATAGATGCCTTGCTGAAAAAGGGTCAAATTAAAAATACTCGTAACCGGCGAGTGTGTAGAGTGTGTAGTGTAGATGAATATGGAGAAAGTGAAAGAGATTTATGTATTTAGCGTTCCATTGTTTTTGCTTACCCCAATGGGAGATAGGCGTGGCAGATACGTATGTATGTATTATATTCACTCTCACAGTCTTCAAAAAGATAAGTACACGGTATAGAAATGAAGTATTTGGCGAAAGTAATATTTTAAGTAATGTTTTTCGCAAGGAAACTTGGATCGAAATTCGACATAAAAATTTTAGGCCTCACGTACACAACTGAAAACTGGATGCGTATTATACGCGTAAGGATACTCAATTTGACATCATTTTTTGATTTATTGACTTTATCAAAAAAAATGTTCTGTTTCTCTAGTAGAATATTATTAAACAAAATATTATTGTAAATTAAAAATACCCATAACCGGCGAGCGTATATGAAAAGATTGATGAATGTGGAAGAAGCGAAAGATTTGGGGGTAAAGAGGTTTCTTCAGGGTCGGCAACGTGCGCGTAATACCTCTGGTATTGCAGGCGTTCATAGGCTACGGTAACCGCTTACCATCAGGTGGGCCGTATTCTTGTTTGCCACCTCAGTGGTATAAAAAAAAATAAATCGAAAGATGTTTGTTTGCATCGAAGCATTTGGCGTTCCATTGTTTCTGCCTACCCTAATGGGAGACAGGCGTGACAGATATATATGTATGTATGTAAAATATTACTGGTTTCTATTTCAGTCAGTAGGTACGGCTTTTTAATGCGATGAATATAGAAGGTAATAGTGACGGATGACAGGTGAGGACGAAGTCATGTAAATTTTTAAAGAACTAACCACGATAGATTCCTGGAAAAATCTGGAAATGTATCTATATTGCTAGTAATAGGGAACAACATATCCAATTTCTCCTCCCTTGCTTAATATATGGGGCCCTTAATCAGTGGTACCCATGAATCTCTTCAGACAGAATTAATTTTTGTTTTCCCTTCTACAGGTACATTTACGGCTGTGTTGGACAAGACGAGCTGGCAGCCTTCTACCGTGATGCCGCGGTGGCGCTCGTCACGCCGTTACGTGATGGCATGAACCTAGTCGCCAAAGAGTTCGTCGCGTGTCAAATAAACACGCCCCCCGGGGTGCTAATAGTGTCGCCGTTTGCTGGCGCGGGCGAGATGATGCACGAAGCGCTTATCTGCAACCCTTACGAGTTAGACGACGCAGCCGAAGTTATCCACAGGTAATTTTATATTTTACCGAATTAAAAAATTGTGATAGACAGTTTTCATTTCGATGGTACCTATTTACATATTTTTCTCATCTTATACTTAATAAGGCATGTTATCCGCAAACTATGAACACATTTTAATGTGTCTTTTTATAATAGAACGGGTTTAATTTTATGCCAGTGTTATACTAGTATTGTTAATGGAAAGAATTTGTATATAGGTAATATGTATCTACTTAGTACCAAATACCTAATACTCAGTATAAATACATATACAACGTAAAATATGATAGGGTAATCGTTTTGTTTAACTATTGCCGCTACTGCAATCTTACACTCGATTTGCCTATATTTTAGCGAACATATCCATAAAAGAAGTAAAAATTGTTCAAAATGGTTACATAGTAGCAAAAAAAAAATTAGTTGAATTCAGAATGTACTTCTTTTGAAAGACACTTAAATATATACTATGTACACATCTTAAACGAGGAATCAAATTGCAGAGCGCTGATCATGCCAGAGGACGAGAGAACGGTCCGAATGAACAACCTGAGGCGGCGGGAGCAGCTCAACGACGTGGACAGCTGGATGAAGTCCTTCCTGAAAGCCATGGACTCTCTGGAGGAGGAAGCGGACGACATCGGAGCGACCTCCATGCAGCCAGTCACTATAGACGATTTCGACGAATACCTATCCAAGTGAGTGGACGTTATCTTGTTCTTTTTTTGTTACGATTTTTATTATATAAAGACATGTCTAATTATAATAAAATCGTAAGTTTTTACGTAATATCAGTACATCTTTATGTAATTATAACAAAGTCGTTGCGGAGTCCGACTTTTTTTTAAATCGAAATTAATTGGTTCGCGTTGTTGATGGTGATGATGAAGGCCATCATTTCCAGTGAAGGTCATTTTGAAAACGATATTACTAAATAGTGAAAAATCTAAAAAAAGAAATATTAAAGTTGGATCCTTAAACTACAAACTATATTTGGAAAAAATACATCATACTAATATTATATTATAAACGCTTACCATCAGGTGGGCCGTATGCTTGTTTGCCAGCTCAGTGGTAAAAAAAAATGTGAATGTTCATAAGGATGTTATAGTCAATCACAGCTGAATAGATTTGAATTAAATTTGGTGCAAGTTTGCGGGAAATAATAAAAAATAACATATTAAAAGCATGACGGTTGAACACTATTACCTGGTGAACTATATGTTGCCCGCAACTTTGCCCGTGAATCAGCACACCTGCAATGCCGTAGGTGTTGTGGGTGACCATGGGCGGCGGTAGTCACTTACCATCAGGTGAGCCGCATGCTCGTTTGCCCCCTGTGTTGTAAAAAAAAAAAGTATTCTATGTGTCAAGAGATAATCTGCTCATGTACCAAATTTTATTCAAATCCGTTCAGCCATTTAAACGTAACTGAATAACAAACGTATAAACATATAACATCCATACATTTTTAATTATGAAATAATTAACAATGTAAAAAGAATAAAACTTACAATTTATTAAAATTATTTCGAATTTTAATATATATATATTTTTTTAATTTTCGTTATTACCTTATATATATATGTAGAAAGATGTATGTAAGTACTCAAGGTATAGGTAAATCAAGCCAAGTTCTCGAAGTAAGTCACACTGTGTTATAAGAAGCTAGACAAAGGATATCCTATATCTGAGGGAGTTACTCAGAAAGTCCACCAAAGGCCTATTTATTTTTATTATTTTCTGAATTAGTCCAAACGTGTCCTTATCTTGAGACCTCAATTACGCAAAACGTAAACTGTCCTCCTTTCTTAGCAGGCATATATGCATTGGACATCTATTCAAAGTATGTAGATATCTACCTAAAGAAGGTATATATATACATACATATATACATATATATATATATATATAACGTGTGGCTCCTGATATTTTGGTAAGGGTTATTTAATGGATGATAATGAATGGTTACCTTGCTTCACAATCGATATTCGCTGGTGAAGCACTAGTCAAAGATTTTTGTTTAATTTAATTGTTTGTTAGAGAGATAGTTTATAGTGTAGGGCAGGGGTTCCCAAACTTATTTTGTCTACTGCCCACTTTGAGAATAAATTATTATTTAGCGTCCCCATTTTTTCACTTACTTAAAAACCACTATTACTTCATCACCCTCCAAGCCTCTACACAATGTCCCCATTTTTTTTTTTGGTCTCTTACCGCCCTCGTTTAGGCTTGCAGCACCCACAAGGGGGCGTTATCGCCCACTTTGGGAAAGGCTGGTGTAGAGCCTATAGTTTATAGGTTTACTACTGTAATCTTTTGGAGAAAACAATAAAGAATATCTATCCATTTTATTGACCTGATAAGGTATATTTGCAATAGGACCGCTCCACTATGTTTTGTTTGAGTTGGCTTGGTACGTTGATATTATATATTTCAGTTTGAAATATGATAAACATATTATATTGGACATTTATCTTCAAGGGGGGAAGGGATTATTAGTAATGGGGATCATTAAGCCTATTGCTAGCAATAAACCCTGGCAGGTCGACTTTCTGACAACCCCAACTGGAAATCATCGTGCTTATTCCTAGCGAATTCATCACGATGGACTAACTGACTTACTTTTTCATCGTAACTTATCATCCTTAGCAGCAGCGTGTACTGATAACGCAGGCGGGGTTACCAACCCATTTTCATACATAAAAAAACAGCATATACCTTCATATCATAAGCAATGACAGCAGACATTTGTACATGGTTCAGGGACTTCGCTAGCCGTATACTTATCAAATGAACTGCACGCTTGATAACCAACTTTATTGTACACAAAAAAAAAAAAAAAACTAATAATAATATTTGTATATTTTATGCTAATTCGATTTCTGAATCACGGAGTTTGTAGTGAACCAGTCACTAGAATATTGATTCGTTCAAATTGATCAAGCTGATCACAGTATACTCTGTTATGTCCACGGCACTTTTCATGTCTATAGGCGTCGATTACCAATTTCCATCAGTTTGGCTGTCAGTTTGTTTGTATTATCCATCAGATGGACCATTAGCTTTGTCTGCTTTTTTGAATTAGGTAAAAAAACATGAAATCTCAATCCTTTTCAGGTACATAGGCTACACACAGAAACTAGCGCTTATGCTGGACTACGACGGTACCCTGGCCCCCATCGCACCTCATCCAGACCTCGCCACCTTGCCTCTAGAGACCAAACACACGCTACAAAGGCTATCCAACATGTCTGACGTGTACATAGCCATTATATCTGGACGGAATGTTGATAATGTGAAGAATATGGTGAGTTTGTTTGACCTATGTAGACCTTATTTAATTTTAAACTTTCGCGTTGTTTACACATATTTTAAATACACAATCGGGACTTAAGGCGATGAAAAAGCTTTTACAGGTCAGTAGTACCTACTTATCAGCTTCTTTATTCTTTATTTATTTCTGATTGTGTATTTAAATATATATGTGAGCCTTTATAAGGATACTAGTAAAATAAATAAATTTAGTCTTCTTTAAGTTTGTGCGAGGATTTACCAGCAGGCTGAATGATTCTAATGATAAAGTTACAGTTTATTGATAGAAAAATAGTAATAAATATGATTTTGAACTAGAGTTTCCAATTGTAGATGTCGGTAGGGGCGGCAAAATTTAAATAGCCTATTGGCGGGAAATGTGTCAAGCTGTCACTGGAAACGACTATAAGAAAAGACTATTTTGCAGTGTAAAAAAAAATCGAAGTAAAACACTATATCGAGCTACTTGTCCAGCGTGATAATAGTATCCCTCACTTAGAGAGAGAGAGAGAGAGAGAGTCTGTGTATACAGTGTTTGTGTATATCCGTCTTGTGCCATATCTGTCTTCAGAATCATCGCAAGTTCGACTTATTATAATTCTTTATATAATTAATAAGACTTACTTCTATCTTCATATATGTCCATATTAATTTTGCTTGCCGTTAATGACTTATTGTTATGCGCTTTAACCTTTTGCTTTCCTATCTTTCGGCAAAGTCAGTAATGTCAACATCAAATTTCGTCACCCTCCGTGTGTTGCTTAGTTCTCGCCTGTGACATCATGGCGGCAAAGCGAAGCTGTCTACTGAGAAAGTCAATAGTCATCTATCTATACGTGACTTTATTAACCATTTATATAAAACAATAATTTTCTTATCTTAATAATATAATAAAATTGTAAATATACAATATATGTACATGAGAGATATTTAAGAAAAAATAATATAAGAGGTATCAATAAGACCAGAAATGGATGTCAAAAAATATTTTATAGAATTTTTATCTCTCTATCTGTATATTTACTATGGCATCACGCAAAAACTACTACACCAAATTGGATGCATACCTTCATAGTTGTGTTCCTAAAAGGCTAACTTAAAACTGGTGTACATTTTATTTTGATACACCATCTAAAAGTGTTCTATTTCATTGGTTTTCCTTTTTTAAAATTTGTAGATATGAAGTAGCGGGTAACAAGCAAGTATTTGATAGAAATAAACTTTTATTTCTCTGATATCAGTACTTAATTTACTTTTTGATTTTTTCAAATTTGTTCAGTATTATAAAAAGTTAACTATTAGTTGTTAAGGTATCAGTTTAAACATCTCATGTTAATTTGTATTACCTGAAATATTATTATGATAGCTCGGATATTTTTTTTTCAAACCTATTTAACAGATTGTAAACCACGTCAAAGGCATAGAAACTTTTGATACTCGTATTACGGTACGACTCCCTCGCGATTGATTCATAGATTAAGAATAGTACTTGCGGTCCTAATAGATATCAAACGCGATGGCAGTGTAACAATTTTCTTGTCTCATTTTTTGATTATATTATCAACCTGTCAGTACGTAGTACATTATAATGGTTATAATATGTATGTCTACGGTCACTATTATTCGTGACCAATAAAGAGGTATATTTTTCATTTGTTTTAATAACATTATTCTATTACTATTTCATAATGCATACGCTCTTGGGGGGAAAGGGATTGTTAGTAATGGAGACTGAGAATCCCATTGCTAGCAATATACCCAACCAGGTCGACCTTCTCGCGATTCTCCCTGGAATCTATCATGGTTAATTCCTGATGAATTCATCATGATAGGCTAACTAACCTGTTTTCATTCTCATCGATCACCCTTCACTGGTGCTCCGCCAGCGTATCCCGTTAGTGCAGGCGGGGTTACCATACCATTTTCACCCATCAAAAAAAAAAAATGCATACGCTCATAGCAGTTCTATGGCATTCTCTTTATACTGATAGTTCGAATACTCTTTACTGTTTTTTTTTAATCACGACTAGTATAGAACTATTTGAGGGATAGAAATTTAGATAGAAACGCTAATTTTGTTTTCATTTGTTTTTGTAACAAAGAGTACATATGTTTATATACTTTCTAGCAGGAGTAACTAAAACTGAGCTTTCGATGCCCAATTGTACCTCCTTCTAGTGTCAATACAATGATCGAATTAATAACTGTAGCGAATGGTCTAAGCCTCCTACCAAACATCTACAGTTGATACTATGTGTAAAATATAGGGGGTTGTAATGTAATATAAATTGGACTCTCTTTTCCGCGCTTAGTCTAATAAAGAAGATTATAAATAACTAGCTTTTACACGCGACTTCGTCTGCGTAACTGGAATGTGTTTACTGACTGGGATAAAACATAGCTGTCTCATAATATATCTCTAATCTATCTTTCTCTATCCCACGTAGTACGTGTATACCTAATTTAATAAATCATTTTGATTGATTAAATCATTAAGGCATTATTAAGGTAATAAACAAACAGACTTACTATCACATTTATTATATTAGTAAGGAAACTACTTAACAATCCCATAACGACATACAGCATTAAGTCGACCTCCATGCGGATAATTTATCACGGTTAGTTCCTGGTCTCTTAAAAAACTGTTACCATGTCCCATGTCTATTTTCATCCATCATAAAAAAAAAACAAATGTAATGAATAATATATGAAAATTTTGCACTAGTTATTACATAAATTTACTCGTATTGCGTATTACTCGTATAGAGTTCGTTAGTATCAGAAGTGTGCTTGTGTCCTTCGACCAATCAGTCAATGATTGTAATTAATCAAACTATATTGACAGTCGGAATGATTGAGAGTTCTTCTGGACAAATTAATACAGTTCCGTATGTACGTAGATATAACAGATATTGTAAGAAATATATAAAGGACGTATTTTAATCTCTAAGAGAATTGTAATAATTATTTATTTATTTATAAAAGACACACGAACAATATGCTCACAACAATGAAGCAGGCAATGTACAATCTTATATGTAAGTAAAAAGTGAAAAATTACTATTCAAAAATGCTTAAATCTAAGTTTACTTGAACAAAAACATCTCACTCTTCCCTACCAAGTTTAAGGCCATACGAACACATCAATTAAAGGTGTATACAACTCTCACAGATAGGGGGGAAAGGGATTGTTAGTAATGGAGACTGAGAATCCCATTGCTAGCAATATACCCAACCAGGCCTCGACCTCCTCGCGGTTTTCCCTGGAAACTATCATGGTTAATTCCTGATGAATTCATCATGATGGGCTAACTGGCATGTTTTCATTCTCATCTGTCACCCTTCACTGGTGCTCCGTCAGCGTATCCCGTTAGCGCAGGCGAGGTATAGACCATACCATTTTCACCCATCAAAAAAAAAGCTCTCACAGATAATGATGAATGATTATGTATCTATTACTTACCTAGTCTACAATTGTTGTAAAACTAAGGCAGATTCAATGGGGGAGGAGAATGTTCAATAGTGTAACGCTAATGGCTAATATGGTGATAACTAGACTAATCTGCAGTCTAATAGGTACTTAAAAACTAAAAAATTTTATTTATAAATTAAGCAATTTGATATTTTTTTATGCTATTTAGAATGGCAAAAGAGCTGACGGCCCAGCTGATGGAAAGTGTTAACCGTGGCCTATAGACATGAGCAGTACCATGGACATAACAGAATATACTGTTTCGCCCATGATACCCTCATGTATATTTGAAATACACTTTCGGGAAGAAAATAGATGCCACATTGGACGTACTGTGATTAGCAATTACAGTATGGCAGTCATAGTAGGGTCAGTGGATACCCGTAATATTTTGAAGGACGCTTTTTCTTCTCCCAGACAACATGGTCCGAAAATATGACGTCATTTTTTTGATATTTTCCTCATCATCAACATATCAGCCCTATATATCATCATATCGCCCTACCGTTGCTATGCTTGGAAGGCGGGTTTGGCAAACGCATTTAGGTTTTGGTGATGTTATGAAAGAATGAAAAGAGGAAACTGCTGCCCATCACTCCATTAAATACCCTTAGTCATTTCTTACGGCACCCACGGGAAAGGAAGGGTGGCCTATTCTATACCGGGACCACACGGCCATTTTAGGGACATTTGAGGAAACGTAAATTATTACATTCTTTTTAGAGTCGCAGATGTCACTTTGTAATCATTTATTCGCCTCTTACAACACCCATGTGTAGAAGTTACTTGTTCTAAACCGTGTCACACAGTAAACCTAAAGATCGGCTTGGATAGAATGCCTGTAGGGTTAAACCCGTTTTTTGTACTATATTTTATACTAAAGAGTAAACCTTATATCAATAATATTATTATTTTAATACTGTTGTGTAATTATTATTATGATGACTGGCCATTAACATTGTATCTAGTTACCTAGTTATAAAATCCACCACGACACTGCCCTCGATGTGTACATAAACTTTAATCTTTTATCTGCATGTCTTGATTATTGGATAACATTGAATGAGATGAAACCTCAATAGCTCGCAATAACAAAATGCTATCATCGTGAACTTTGACTTCTTATCTATATTCTAACAAAAATATTTATAATTGACTATATAATAATGTACTTTAGGTATTGTCTCATGCTCGTGGCTAACCGTGTTTGGTACTATCATTTACATTATTACGTAATATTTGATCAATCTATTTAGTCCAATAACATCAAATACTTAGTAATTTTTGTTGACAATATTAACGTGTGTAAATATGTTTAATCTACATAAACAGAATGAAACAGAAATAGCAAATTGTACGGGAAACTATATCTTTGCATGCTATATGAATATGTTACAGAACATAGGTCGGGATTTCCTTAATTCAAAAATTCTAAAATGATAAGAAATTTTGAGCCACACAAACTAACTTATTATTATTTATATCAACATCATCATCATCATCATCATCATCATCATATC